CTCCGCCCAGGCACCGAGTCAACGTGCTGCTGAACTTGGACAACTGACCCGGGCCCTCCAGGCATCACTGTCCCCGGGGCTGGGAGACGGGCGTGGACGGGGAGGCCTGGACCTCGGGGCTCGGGCAGGGCAGTGGAGAACCCTGGGAAGCGGCCTGGACCTCGGGGCTCGGGCAGGGCAGTGGAGAACCCTGGGAAGCGGCCTGGAGACGCTACTACCGGACATTTCTTCAGAGGAGGCATGGGGGGAGGGGGTGGTCCAGTGATTTGCCAAAGGTCACAAAACCAGTCGAGTGTGGACCCAGCTTCAAGCCAGGTAGCCCCAAAGCCTGCATTTCTGCACACAGCTGCTTCATTGAAACGGCCGTCTGTAGACGGGACGGAAAACAAGCCCGTCCTTCCTTCCCAGCTGAGAAGCCGAGGGCGTCCTACACGCCACGGAGCAGCCAGGAGGAGGCAGGCTCCGGGCTCAGCGGGCCACGCGGGAAACTGGGGGCCGTCTTCACAGGGACTGGGGCGATGGGCACCGTTTACAATTAGAGAACAGCTTCTTCCCAGAGCAACAGTTTATCAAGAAAGGGCGAGAGAGCGAAGTGAACCACTGAAAGGAGCCCACGGGACAGGCCCCGCCCCTCCGGGCCCCGGCCCCGGCCCTCCGGGCCCCGGCCCCGCCCCTCCGGGCCCCAGCCCCGCCCCCTCCGGGCCCCAGCCCCGACGACCACAGAGCACACAGCCTCGGAGAGGGGCCGGAGGTGCGGGACAGTGAGGGCCGGACCGCAGGTGCACCCGGCACCCACAGGAAGCCGTTTTGATGCCTGGGTCAAGAGCGTGCCCTTTCCCAGTGGGAATCGGAGGGTGCATCGCGCTTGGAAATAGTGTGGGGAGCACGGTCGGCCCCCTCGGGGACTCCAGGGAGAAAATCCCCGCACTGGTCTGAACCGTGTCCCGCGTGTGCTCTGCTGGCACAATCACAAAACCAGACACCGGTCTGCCTCGTTGTGGAAGGTGAAGTGGAGTTAATCCTTCAACAAAAACAGTGACAGCAACAGCATTCCCTCCCCAAGGGGTTTTAATATTTGTTTAGCACGGGGATCAGTACTGGAGTGTTCTAGGAGCTCAACAAACACAATTCTGTCTGCCGTCTGTGCCAGCGCCTGGGATAACTAAATTCACCAAGGTACATGCGGAAAGGAAGTTCTCCGCGTCTCTCTCCGGGGGCACCAGGAAAGCGAGCCCAGCGCCAGGTCAGAGCGCGGCCAGCGGCCGGCCCCCAGGGCTTCTCCCTCACCGTCAGCAGCGGGAGCTCCGGTCTGGGCGCTGTGATAGCAGAGCGCGGCCGGCCCCTTGCTTCCCTGCCTTCCGAGCGCAGAGCGTGTGAGATTCGAGCAGATTAGCTTCTCTCATTAAGTGCTGTTAAAATCACTTTTCATCTCCTCTCTGTCAGTCCCTGAGAGAGGCGGCCACTCAGAAGCAGGAGGGGTGTTCAGAAGAGAAAAGCCCCTTGAGAATTAAACACTTTTTTTTACTTAATAAAAAAGAACTAACAATAAACTAACAGTAATGATAAAAAAAGGACTTGTTTACAAAATTTATATTATACCAAGTGTGGCACTGTCATCTTTAAAAAGTAAATGTATGTCACAATGCAGTAAAGGGTTTAAGCCAAGAAGAGGATAGAACGTTTGTAAATATTTATGCACCCAACATAAAAGGCCCAAAAATATACAAAACAAATATTAGCAGAAAACAGGAAGAAATGGACAGCAGGTAGTAATAGTAAGGGACTTCGACATCCCACTTTCATCAGGGGACAGTCACGCGGCCGCAAGTCAACGCGGAAACAACGACCTCGCACAACACAGCAGACCAGGTGGCAGAACTGACCATACGAACACCCCCATCCACAGCATCAGACCACACATCCTTCTCAAGTGCACACGGAACGTTCTCCAGGGGCGATCACGTGGTAGGATGCAAAACAAGTCTCCACAAATTTACAAAGACAGAAATCATACCAAGCATCTTTACCCACCAAAATGGTATAAAAACCAGGAGGCTAAGCAATATGCTATCAAACAACCAATGGGTCAACAGAGACACCAAAGAGGACATCAAAGTATCCCCGAGACGAATGAAAGCCCAACATTCAGGTCTGGTGTGCAGCAAAAGCCGTTCTCAGAGGGAAGTTTATAGAGATACAAGCCTACCTCAAAACAACAAGAAAAATCTCAAATAATCACTCGAAATTTACATCTAAAGGAACCAGAAAAAGAAGATTAAACAAAGCCAATATTAGAAGAAATAAATTAAATAGAGACAAAAAATAGAAAAGATCAATAAAAATAAGAGCTGGTTCTTTGAAAAGAAAAGCAAAATTGATAAACATAATTTAGCTAGACTTTTCAAGAAAAAAAGAGACAAGGCCAAAATAAACAAAATCAGAAATGAAACAGGAGAAATTACAGCTGATACAACGGAAACACAAAGGATCATAAGAGATTACTGTGAACAATTATATGTCAACAAATAGGACAATACAATTAAAAAGTAATGAATAAATTCCTAGAAACATATGATCTTCCAAGACCAACTCATGAAGAAAAAGAAAATGGGAGCAGAGTGAGGACTAGTGATGAGATTGAATCAGTAATCAAAAAACTCCCAATAAACAAGAGATCGGGTCCAGATGGTTCACAGGTGAATTCTACCAAACATTTAAAGAAGAGTTAAGTGTCCTCTAAATTATTCCAAAAATTAATGATAAATGAACACTCACAAACTCATTCTATGAGGCCAGCATCATCCTGACACCTGACACCAAAACCAAAGACACTAAAATACCTACCTACCTACATACACACATACCTACATACACACATACCTATATAATACATATCTACACACATACACCTATATACATACATACCTACACACACGCATCTACACATACCTACACACACACACCTACATACATACACACACATACCTACATACACACATGCCTACATACATACACACACACATAGCTACATATAGACATATATACACACACATACCTACCTACATACATACATACATGCCCCAATCCCCAAAGAACACAGATGCAAAAATCTCCAATAGGATATTAGCTAATTAAATAAAAAAATCATAACCATGACCAAGTGGAATCTACTCCAGGATTTTAACATCCACAAATTAATCAATTTGATACATCACATTAACAAAACAAAGGATAGCAATCATATAATCATTGCAATAGATGCAAAAGATAAAAGACATCTGACACCAATTTATGGCAAAGTCTCTCAACAAAGTGAGAATAAAAGAAACATATCTCAACACAAAAGGCTATCAGATAGGACAAACCCACAGCTAAAATCATACTCAATAGTAAAAAGCTGACAGCTTTTCCTCTAAGATCAGAAACAAGACAAGGATGCCCACTTCTGACACTCTTATTCATAGTGTTATAAGTCCTAGCCACAGCAATTGGACAAGAAAAAAAAAAAAAAAGACATCCAAATTAGAAAAGAAGAAGTAAAACTGTCACTATTGCAAATGACATAGACTGTACATGGAAACCCCTACAGATTCCACCAAAAAATTACTGGAACTCATATATGAATTCATGAAATTTGCAGGATATAAAGTTAATATACAGAAATTTATTGCATCTTTATACACCAGTAATAACTAAATATCAGAAAGATAAATTAGGAAACTAATCCCTTTACAACTATATCAAAAAGAATAAAACACCTAGGAATAAATTTAAGCTAGGAAGTAAAAGACCTGTACTCTGAAGACCTTAAGACATAGGTGGAAACAACTGCAGCTCACACGTCAAGGAACGACAGCCATGCTCAGGGGTTGAAAGAACTAACGTTGTCACAATGACTCCATTAGCCAGAGCAATCTGCAGGTTCAACGCAGTCCCTATCAAAACAGCAACGGCATTTTTCACAGAACTAGAACTAGTTCTGAACATTGGAAATGTGGCCACCTAGACAACTTTATTTGCTACAGAAAATGTGAGAGATCAGACTTTATTGCATGTTGAATTTTTCTCATGGAATCAAAAGATACAAATAAGAGATACAAAGCAAAGAGACGATTTAAAAATTCAAAAACTGGCCAATCTCTTAAGGATTGATATATATATAAACTTTGGAAGCATGAGTTCCTACTAATGAATCAAAATATGTGAAAATGGTATCCTTTATTTGGTTTTTGAACAACAAACTGTATTTTGGAGAAGAGAGAGTATAAATGCATAATTATTGCAAGATGTTTCTTACCTCTTGGAACTAAATTCCTAAAAATGTCTTTACAGCGTTAAATACAATTTGGCTCCAGGACAGACTGCAGTCAAAGCGAACTCATTCTGGATTTCCTTTACGAGCTACACACAGATCAGATTTGGTTGTGGTCTGACTGAAATTCAGACCTGCTCTGTGGACAAGCCATGCCCTAAACACTTTATCCTCAGGAAAGTCAGAAAGCAAACCGACGTGCAATAAAACCTATAGTCCTAGCACATTTTCTGTGAGATTCATTCGCACAGGTGGCCACATTTTTAACTGGTTTTTGGAACCAACCGTTAAAAGCAATCTTCTAAATTTTCTCTTAAAAATATATGACAACAACATACAAGGCTCCTAATTCTTTAGAAGTAAAAATCAGGGTCAACTTATCAACACGCATGAGCCTGTGCAGGGCGCCTCTCATTGCACACACAGCCTTGTTAGTGGAGAATTCTTCCTTATCTTAATATTTCAAATGTAAAATAAAAGGAGGGTTCCGTGGGCACAGTGAGCACCAGGTCCGTTCACCAGCATCTTCCCTCACCAAGCACCAGCCTGACTGGCAGGGACTTGGAGGTCCACCTGCCGGGACCTGATGAGCTTCACAGGCCGATGAGCATGTGAGAGCGGACGCAGCCCTTGTTTCCAGCCGGGGGGGGGGGGGGGGCACCTGGGTGGACCACCCCGCGTCTCTCACCTAGAGAGTGTGCGGCTGTGGTCTTGGAGCTGAAGAAGCGGCCGAGGCCCAGGTCCCCGAGCTTGACCACGCCCGTGGCCGTGATGAACACGTTGGCCGGCTTGATGTCTGCAAACAAACGAAGGCAACGGGGAGGGGCGAGGTCAGTGTCGCTGTTTTCAAGGATTAAAAACCACATTTCATGGTAGAATTCAAAGTGTACTGTAAAAATAAGTCTGCTTGAATTCCGAATCAATCACTTTATTCTGAGCAATTTTCACAGATCCTAGCATTTCTGTGTTCTGTACTCAGCAGGAGACAGGTCATGATCGCTTTTCATTTAAAGCACATTTCTCCCCATTTTCGAACAAACGCGGGCAGAATACAAAGCACAAAATAAAAGTGTGTCCCTTTCATGTCAGCTTTAAATAAAATATTGTGCTAAATATTAACTGACTGATAGGTTCCCATGAAATATAAAATCGTAACTCTATATACGTATCCTTTACGGAGCGGTCCTCGGAAATCTTCATGGCTCACATAAACGTCACTGGAGTTCTTCATGCCCCCAAATCAAGGGGTCAATTCCCTAGAGATGTGATCTCCGCATGATGCCCAAGCATTCGACTAATAACCACGACTATATCAGAGCTACTGCTGAAAATTAAAATGTAAGTAGCCGGAATATACACTGTTCATTTGGGGGAAAATGAAAGACAACCTCCTCCTTACGCTCTCCTGCATCTGTTTTTCTCGTCACCAACTGAGTCGGGAAGATGCTCAGAAGAGCCCCGCAGAGAAAGAATGAACTCCCACTCATTGGAAACCAAGCGGGGCTTCCCTCGAAGGCTCACCATCCAGGGCCCCCGCCCCCGACAGGGCAGGCCAGCTGCTGCGCGTGGCCGGAGGGCCCCTGCCCCGCGCGGGTGGACGTCGGCGCTCACCTCTGTGCATGACCCGGCGCGAGTGCATGTGTTCCAGGGCGCTGCAGAGCTGGACGAAGTACTTCCACACGGTCCTTTCCGGAATCAGCCTCTTCTGTTTCTTAAAATGCTTTTGTGAAATGGGAAAAAATAAAACAAAACAATTATAAGAACTAAGACACCTTAGGACTGGATTCAGACAAGCAAAGGGCCGAGGCAGAGAAACACCTGCCTTATCCACCTAAGACCAGCTGCACAGCGTGTGAGTCTCCAGAGGGAAGGTCCCGAGAGCTTCGCCCGACTCAGCAGCTCACGCTCCCCCGCTGCAGCACGAGCTGGCACCGGCCACGGGGCGCGGGCTCCTGGTGCCAGCGGTTTCAAACCACTAACCTCTGTGCAAACTCACTTCTACCAGGGAGACGTCAGACTCCATGGGAGGAGAAGCCAGAATAACACAGTCTAGAAACCTGAAGGCAATTATGCTCATTAAAAGACAATTCTTCCGCTGACAGAGGTTTCACTACAGAATCCCTTTGAAATCATGAGCCACCTTGGCGATTTGAAATATCACTTAGTTTACTGAGCATTAAAGGGATTCGGGTAAAAAGTTTTCATAAACATTTCTATGCACGTTACACATCAGACTTGCAGTCGCTTTGCATGAATGAGACTAAACTTCGTAGATGAAAAAAAGTACAAAAGGAAGGGAGACCTGGCGCCAACCAGGGGCTGGGAGGGGGCCACCTCCCACTAAAGGACCACACGCCGTTTGCCGGCAGAACACAGCAGTGACACACTCGTTTGAGAACCAAGTTCTTCGTTGTGAAAGATGCTTCAAGATTCGCTACACGAAAATTATGTTTCAAAAACAGAAATACAATTGGTTGGCTCTTTCACAGTATAAGTGACCAACATGAAGTATTGCATTCAAACATGTTTTCACAAAATTTTCGGATAACTTTAAAACACAGAGTTGGTAACGGGTAACGTTCACCTGTGCGCTGAATGCATGTTATCTGAAAACCTGACACTTTGGGGGCTGAGCGGACTCGTCGCTTCTGTCACTGAACATGGAGAGCCTGGCTGAGGTCACGCTGCAGCCCGGCGTCTGACCCGTGACCGGCGTGGGCAGGCCGAGCGGAGCGGCGGGCCACAGACACCTGCGGACACCTGTCTCCCGGTCAGCGAGACGCACCCGCTGCCTCGCACAGGCAGGTCTCGGAGGAAACGCTAGTCGCTTCGGGGTCACCGTGATCGCAACACCACGGCCGTGAACTGATGGGCAGTGTCAGTGGCTATAACATCAGCAGCCAGAGACGAGTAAGGACCAGATGACCAGGTGACTGGAAAGCAGGCAGGGCGCTGCTGGAATGTTGCTCCACGTGGCGCTGCGACATTGGGCGGTTTTAACTGGGGACGGCGCCCAGGCGCAGCCGGCTGCTCTCCCTGCCGCGGATCAGCATGTCAGAGGGCTGTCTGACGTCGACGGGAAGATGGGGACCAGGTCTCTTTCCATCAGAAACAAATACCCCACATCGTGCTCGCTCAGCCGTATGCGCTCATACAGATTCTGAAATCATCGTGATTATACTTAAGTGGCAGTTCACTTAAGAACGTCCCATTATTTACAAAGTAAATAATATGCACAGGAAAAAGGCAGAAGGGAAAACTGCCCTCGAAATGCACACGAGGGAGCCGCTCCCGGACCCGACGGCCTGATGTTTCACAGTCCTATGCTCCTCTTTGGGATTTTCTCCCTGAACAACGAGTTTAGGACGATGACAATAACCCGACGGCGGTACAGCGCCACACGGACAGAGCGACCTGGTCAGAAGGTAAGTATCCGATTAGAAACAGGTTTCTGAAGAGCAACTTTATAAATCGGATTTGATCATAAAATACACCAAAGGCAGTTTCGCGACGCCGTGGGTCTCCCCACGTTCCGTGTGTGTCTGTTCAAACACGCGCCTTTGTTCGCCCTTCCTGACGCTCAGCGAGGCTTCGTCGAGAAAACCAGGGCTTCAGGGGAGCAAACCTGTCCGATCGGATGGTGGCCCCGCTGGCCCCCTAGACAGGGGCAGGGGCCGGAGAAGCGACAGGTTCCCACTCCTCCTGCGCGGCCAGTTCACGCCCGCGCGCCAGAGCAGGGACCCCCACGGTGGCACAGTATTGGGGAGAAAACAACAGCCATTTCTCGAAACATATTCTAATATATACAGTCTTTGAAAAGTTTAATCTTTGGTCAAATAGCACTACTGCTCAAAAATCCTGTTTTCTCTGAAAAAGGACAGCCCTTTACAATATTTAGCTCTGGATTAGGAGAAGACTCTAAGGCCAACATGCAGAAATAAGAAATGGACATACGTTTGCCACGTGCTAAGTATTTAGTAAAATAATAAAAAACGCAAGCAGACTTTTTCAAGGTTAGTATCGATAAAGATTTATGTGCAAAAGATTATGCGATGTGGCACTTTTACTACTATATTCATTCAATAAAACACAGCTGTAACTTTTGTATACCCCCAATAAAATACCTTAAAGTTAATAAAAAGGCAGGCATTAGCACGCAGGTACACCTGACCACTTGGACATAATTTTTGTTTAGTTTTTGAAAATTTAAGTAGACTACTCTTTTCTCTCTGCAAAGCTTCTAATACTGTTTATTTTAAAGCATATTTTCTATCTTCCATCATTACTTAAATTGTTTACGTAATATTTTAGCAAAATACACCCTTTAAAAAAATAAAACCTCAAACACCCTCTCCTACAGATTGAATGCTCCGACCAGATCAGCTCTCTAGTGGACACTGAATATCTAAGCACCACTTTGGACTCAACGGGATCCCTCGGCCCTGCCTCCCAGACCCTACAGCTCCGGAGCACACACTCGACGCGTTTCTAAGGTCTCCGCCTAGAATCCCCCCCCCAAGAGGTTTGGGGAAAGCTTCAGGCATCACCAGAATGAGCTCGTCCCCCGAGAAAGAACAGAAAACGACGTTCTTGTTTCATAAGAAATTAATCTCCGTGGTTCACGATACACGAGCCCACAGGAGGCATGTCCGTCTCGGAGGACAGCGCTCCAGACCAGGCCGGGGCAGCGCCGGGCCAGCCTCATGGGTCACCCGCCATCCGGCCCTGCGCTCAGCTCACCGCCCCGGGGCCGCCACCCCAACATGCCCCGTAAGTCGCTAACTGGGACCCACGCTACAGGCAGCTGGAACTGGGGACCTCACACTGAGTCCCCTCTGGAAAGGGACTGCTGTCGCTGAGACAAAATATAAAAGCAAGCCCGTGACCCTGGCGTGCAAGGAGTCCTGAAGATGATGAGCAGACACTCGGGGCCACAGAAACGCTGAGAGGTGGACCCAGGCCGCTCCTCCGTCCCTTCCCAGGGCCCAGCCAGAGGTCATGACTCACGGTCAAGGTAGGAAGGACCTCCCGCTCGGGGTGGTGCCCCATGTGTCATGTACCGCAGCAGGGGCCAGTCACCTTTTCAAACAGACCTGACGGTGGGCGCGGCAGGACCCGGGCGGCGACCGTGAGCGAGCAGCCTGGCCGGGCCTCAGCTTCCTCACCGAGGGTACGGCGACCGGAGGGGGCCTCTGCGGCCCCCACCATCTCTAAACTAGAATCTGTGGTTCTACGAACTCAGTTGCAAATAAGGCACATTCTCTCACTTATAAACTATACTGTTTTACCAGAAATGGGCCATCCTTCAAATCTCCAGTTAATAAAACAAAGCCAACAACAGTTACTACTTGTACTCTAGCTCCGAGGTCCCCACAGGTCCAGCTGACACCGCAGCTGGTCTTCACAGGAGGAGACAGGTAGCCCGAGTTCTCTGCCACACACTCGTACTGGGTCAAGCGTTCCCCGTCGGGGCGGTGCGTGCCCAGGCCGTCTCGGCGGTCAGATGCCATCTGAGAGCACACCTCACAGAGGTCATCTCGCAGAGCCGGGTGACGGGAAGGCAGGTGCTCGCTGTGTGTTTTCACCTCCTCCTTCTACGGGAACATCTCCTCCCTCCGTAGTTCTTCCTGGACCAGGCTACGCGAGTGACCACTGCGCACAGTTTGGGGACCACTCAACGTGAGAAGTAGCTGAGTCTGCCAGAATCTTGGGGAGTAACCCTCATTTGCAGCACGAGAGGGTTTTTCCGCTTAGCACTCGGAATAAAATCCAGGCATCGTGAGTCGTGAGGCGGACGGCCCCGCAGCCACGAGGCCGCGGACCACGCTCATCTCAGGCACGACTTCACTGCCCCGACGGCATCCCCCCCCAAGCCATGCGCATCTTCCTGTGATGTGGGAAACCCACCAGGTGCTCAGACGCTTCTAGATTGTAATCCATAACGGATCACCAGTGCAGTCTCTTTCTTCCCCAGACCAAAACTCCACAGGCTGTTAATGGAAGCCGAAGCCACGCTGACTCCCACGGGAGAAAGTGTGAAAACAGGTGAGTTTTCTGAGCAATTACGCCTGGGAAACAGAATTATTCGGCGAATGAGAGACCAAGTGCCTATGATGTCACAAGGTTCTTCCCCCAAAAAGTTGTCTTCTCAACACCGGTACGTTAATACCAAAGAGACTAAGTCAGGATGATTTTTAAAAGCAATAAAGAATGTCTGCATCAGAGCTACAAGGAGGAACCCTGCGTGGCTGCCACGTGGACAGTTCTGAAGAGAAACGTCCACGTCTCTGAAACAGAGAAAATCCTCAAAACACTCGCCACGCCCCCCCCCCCCCGACAGGACGGAGGGAGCAGTGCGGGCACGAGCCCCTGAGGAGCCCCCGCTCTGCTTCCCCAACAGCCTCCTGCGTGGGCTCCTGTGTGGACAGCGGAGGAGGTTTGTTTGTTTTCAGAGGGTGCCACTAATCTGCAGCCTCAGACCTCTGAATAACTCCGTTGACGCGCAGGGCAGACGCGGTCTCAGGAACACTGTCTGGGTGGGCTTCCCAGCGTGCCAGGCTGCAGTGGAAAGCAGAGGCAGCTGGTGAACCGAGCCTCGGAGGTGGCGAAGGCAGACGGCACCACTGGGGAGACTTGGCTGCTCCCAGGATTCGGAGGGCAAGCGCGGAAGAGACACGTCAAAGTGGTTTTATTTCCGGCCCGGCCTCTAAGTTTGGATAA